AAAATTTTAAAAAGTATTCACTATTTCGTACAATGAAAGTATCGTACGTAACTCAGGATTCTAGTTAATGTTCTATTTAGACATTTTAAAATATTAATCTGTCCAATTGTTAATACAAATAAATATTACTGTAATTGAACAAACTAATAGTATGCCATTTTTAAATTATTATCAAACGTGAATGTGTTGTTAACCGTATTATCATCGTGATCGACTTAAATACTGACATTCATAATGTACAAAAATATTAAACACATTCTGTACAGGACAATCAATATACAAGGTCACTTGTTTTATTTTCAACCGATAGAATGGTGAAATATAAACAATCTTGTATGTTAATATGAACAATTATGTCACTAATAATAATTTCAAAAACATGAAGACATATTCAGACCTCATTTTAACGTTATTTTTTTTGGTAATAAATTGAATGATATGATATCTTGTCATTACTTGTCAATGACAGTTCTAACTGAATCAATTATTGTAAAATTTATTCTTATAACATATTACATAATATTGATCAGTATTGGGGTCCCAGAAACTTTTGATCATGTGGTAAGATCATAATTAGAAGTAGAATAATCTATCTAGATAAGTCAAACGAAACTAGGTCAGATTATCATTCATTTGACCATCGTAATTATGATCATATGAAAGTAATACATTTTTCACCCTAAACTATAACGCCTTACTTAAGGTTATAACTTTTTCATATTGAACTATGATGAATACCATTATTCCATTTAGAAAATATTCAATTTTAATCAATTATTTTTTTATTTCAACCAAATATAACGAAAGTTTATTACTGATCAACCATTATGTCTGCCAGTTTCGTCTTAACAAATCTAATGGAGTGTTTAGTAGTGTACTAATGATATTTTTGCAAAATATATTCTTTCTACTTCTAATCTTCTGCTCACCTGTTCATGTAAACTATGTAAATTTTTACAGGTTTCAATACGCAACAATTGTCACATTTAAATCTTCTAGTCATATGGTTCATTTGAAAAGACTTCAACTGTGTTAAGCTCGTAGCAAGGATTTACATTTTTAGGTTCAAGCTAATACGAAGCCTTCGGTGGAAAATTTCAAAGCTTTGGAAAAGCAACAACTATTCAGTGCTTCCTAGTTTTCAGTCATTCTTCAATTGATATTAATTCGTTGTTAATTTACTTGAAACTGATACACATTCTCCATTAAATAAACTCCATAAGTATCATACGCCTATCTACTAACTGTATGTTAAAAATCATCTAACTTCTGAGCCAGTATTTGATTAGTATATATATAATCAGAATGTTTAATTTTGTACATCAAATAATAATTATACCAATTAATTGTATATTCTACAATGTTATGAGAAAGGGGTTTTTGTGGATATTATAGTAATTTAATAGTTGAGTTCATGAGTCAATTGAAACTAGACCACCATGGAAAACCTAGAAGCACTGGACGGTCATTTCGTCCTAGTGTGGGACTCCTCAGCAATGTGCACCCACGATATATAATACTGTAAAATAATACTCAACATTTTCATGATAAAAACATGATCACGTTAAATTTATTTGTGGATATCATAATGTTCACTGGTGATAATAATTAGTCTGTTAAAAAACTGTTTTATAACTTGTTCGATGTCAAAGTGTAATATTGCAACCGATAGCCAGCTAATTAGAAAATATTACTAATACCACAATATTAACTAGTTGGTGTAATTGAACAAAACATACTTAAGTGTACTGTTCAAGCAATCAATTCCATACACAGAAAAAGTTTTCGATTCAATTGTTTGATTAGGTCAGATTTATAAGGAGAAATAAACCTCCTTACTAAGGTAGATGTACTATCTTTTAAAAAGTTGTTATGTCAAACTTTAGGGTAATTGTACTACTTATAAATTTAAGTGGAAAGAAGTCAAAATGGTAAAATCCCCTAAAAGAGCTGATATTTTATAATCCAGTACTTCAGTCAATCACAACTGTGAAACTACAAAAAAGTAAGATGTGCAAAGAAATAAAAAGTTTCGCACAGTGGTTTATCGAAGAATATCGGTAATACTCTTTTCTGAGAGCAACAACTATCTGAGGCTCTCATAAAAGTGAAACGGTCTTAATGAATATTAATTAATGTGAAAGTATTTTAGAAGAACCAATACACCAATCGGTATCAGACGGTTTTGAATGTTGATTGCTGAGGTTGGAAACATAAGTCAACAGATACTTGATTAGTAGTATAAACGTCCAGTACTTAAATCATGATCTGAAGTTCCTAGGTTTGATCCCATGAATAGTCTACGTTGAACATTACAAAGGAACAGAAAATTGGAACTGTCTATTAATTCCCTGTTTTCAATGGCTTTCCAGCCGACATCAATTCATAGCGCAATCTATCCGAAGACGATACATATTTATTTGCATCTTCACTAGTTCGAAAGGTGTACTAACTTGTTTGAATATTTTCAACAAACTGATTTTAAAAAACGTCATTTGAAGGTTAATTTTATCTAAAATTATGGTCAAAATGAATACAGGTTAGTTAGCAGTGGGATCCATAATGGATATTTCGTTTTGGATGACCTCTTCAGTTGGACGTATCTGCATCCCAATGTTGATTTTCACATGAAGTTGGACCCAGTACATATTGCATCAGACGCCAACGTCTTATACGTCCAGCTACTGAATCCAGAACGCAACATAACTTGTTCGATGAACTTACTGTTTATTTTTAGGACTCTGCATTATCCAGTTGTTGACATAGTCAGGACTGGATTTTGATTAGTGACTAAATGGCAGTTCACTCAGTATGCACACATATCAATAGAGAGTAATCAGTTGCAATCTTTAACATTAACAATCGGATAATACATGCCCTTCCAAATAATGCGTTTTTCGTTATGTGTATAATTCTATGTCCTGCACTGAAATTTTCTGATGAATGGATAATTTTCTTCATACTATTAATTACATTTAATTCAAAAATTGAAAAAGATGGAAGAGGGGGTTAAGTTCACTTTCAATTACTTTTAAGCGGTTTGAGGGATTTAACAAGGAGTGATGTGCTACATTTTTAAAGTACTCGGTACTTCTTGATGAGGTGAAATAGGGAAAAGATAATTTCACTTCTTGTTATCTAAACTAAACTTATCCACTGTCATGGCCAAAGATGTTACAATGAGACCACTTCAGATGGGGCAAACTCCCTTTCGAAAAGGAATGTTTTAAATAATTTAAATTTCCAACATTATCAGTCAGTCAGTCAGCTACAACGTAGGACCAGGCACATATGTGCATCGGTCCAGGTTGCCATACCTCATTAGCACAGCAAGATGAACAGCGGATTCATAGGAGTGGTTAGGTCAAAGGTTGCAATAAGGATATAGTATAGGAAGAAAGAATTAGTTCGTAGAAAGAAAGAATGAAGTGATTTTAGTCTCTTGGTTTAAGGGAAGACAGAGAATGTATACACCGACGCCATTGTGATCGATTCTGAGCCATGTCACCAAGAGTCTCCAACCATTGGTTACGAAAGTCACGCGGACCCCAACCAAGTAGTCTGCATCTACCAACATGGCTCAGACTAGAAGTTAGTGACTTCAAGCACTGATGCCACGTTTTGGTTTGGCCGCCCCTAACTTTCTTCCAACCATCCCCTACCCCGGTTAGCATTGCACGTCGTGGTAATCGGTGTTCAGGCATACGTAACACGTGGCCCAACCATCTCAGTCGATGAAGGTTCATAACCTCATCAACTGATTTACCATCATTACTTAATACCCTGCGTCTAACCTCACTATTACTTACCCGGTGATCCCAACATTATATAAGAAATCTTATTTCATTTATAGTCAGCAATTGCAAATCCTATCCTCTACACTATTCACTGAAAAAGAGTGATATTGTAGTTGAATTAAAATGCTCGATCGGCGAGACTCTAATTTATGGACGACCTTTGAAAGAATCTTAAGTAACCTTGAGAAATAGTAGCCAATCAGCAAACAGCCAGTATAGAGTAAAAATATGTTATACAGAACCAAGGAAATAAAGTGGATACACTTCTTATACATGGTTCAAAAAATTGTCAAGGTTAGAAAGAGGTTCAGAGGTTCTAAAATCGTAATGCATGCAGTAGAGGAAATCATCCATACGGCTACAGAATAGTCGGCCTCTGGAGCCATGATAAAGTCTTAAAAACTCTTTCAGCCTCGACCACATAGCTTCAGTATTGTTTATGCACTCCGGTTGTTGAGTGCACAAAATGCTACTTGTGGATGACGACACGATGCACGTAACCAAGCCTATGAAGGAGTGTCTACGCTCTCCAAACATCCGTATATATTGTAGTACCTGGCTGCAGCCAGTGTTACTGGTGCTTTTATTATACAGTTCGCAATAATTGTCGTAATTTGCCTTAGTTAGGAATTATATATGGGGTTTTCATCACGAACTGACATCAGCTATAATGCCAGAAATTTATTTAGCCAAATGGATGAAAGGCTTTCCCGTTAAAATCCGAGATTATCTTAAAAAAAGATTGATTCGTCCACAAATTATAGTCCCGCCCTTTTATTTGTTGTAGCCATTCAATTACCATGTTTTGTACGAAATTCCCTGTGAACCGATCGTACGTTGGCATTAAGCACTAAAGTTGGCGCCGTAACCTTGAAATCTCTAAAACGCATCTGATTGGCTCGTCCACAAATTGGAGTCTCGCCGCCCGATCTTATCTGGGCAGATATTTAACAGAATGAACATTAGATAACCAAATGTTTATATAAAATTTTGCTGAATTTAATAACCATTCAAATTATCTGGACAGAGTATTGTCATTTATGAATTAGGATAAGAAGGAAAATTACATAAAATTTATTAGAAAGACATGTATGAATAACTACCGCTATATATTTTACGTTTAGAGGTTGTTATAGTTACGTAACAAATAGTTTCAAATATTTCTTAGGAAATATAAATTTAAGTAAAACAGTACTGACTTACATATATCCACCTTGAAGGAATATATTACACAGCATAGTACAAAAATTAGGACGTTGTATTATCTTAGCAAACTATTGTTTAATTTTCAAATGACCTTCAGATTAAACTGGCCAATAGTTTTCAGCTGACTCATGACCAATCGGATAAAAATTTAGACTACTAATCATAGTGAATAACAACCAGACTAAATAGAATGTTTATAAACAATTTAATATGTAGGTTAATGGAAATTTTCGATCAACTAATAAAAATTCAGGAAGGGAATGTTTTAGTCATCACATAGAACTGGATATTTTTTTTGAATGTTCAGAGAATCTATATAAAATCAATAATAATTAGGCGTAAATAACACCCATTTATTAACCATGATTACTAAGTGTATTTAATTAATTAAACATTTGATATACAAGTGTTAAATATACATACAATCAAAATTGTTTGTATTAATTATGAATAAGAATAAATTTATGACTGGTTTCATATAATCTTATTAAATGTTCTCTTAAGTATCAATAATAACTTATTATTATCAAGATCTAAGATAATTAATTAAAACTCATATCAGAATTGGGTATGGGTGAATTTTAAAATGGATCTACAAAAAAACATGTTCCATCTTGTTCAACTTGTGTTGGTAAGATACAACAACAATTTATGGGGATTTATGATCAAATTTTAAATCGAACCATAAAAGATCTGTTTTGGTTTTTAGGATAAGTATGAAAATAAGCTTATAAATACCACTTGACAAAATCTATAATTGAGACCAATTCTATGGTTGTATCAATGTAAATAAAGCGTTGAAATATTGCATAATAATTCATTACATTAAGAATTATAATACCAGAGAATAAATATGTATTAGAACTGGAAGAAATAATGCTTATATTAAATGTTTATCAATCCTAAAATAGAGATCTAACCTAACATATTCAGATTTCTTGGTAGACTACGGAAAACTACTGAGTTTTCACTTCAGTAGTTTACATGACCGTGAATTTTGAGTTCTATTAATCATTCTGAATTAAGTGATTGAATTCATGGGTCAATCGAAGCTAGAAAACCATGGAAAACCTGGAATCACTGGATGGCCGGTTCGTCCTACAATGGGACTCTTCAGCTTGAGCATCTGGGCTACCTGTTCCTGCCATCTAGATATTTCAACAAGTTATCTATTATTGTTTGTTTTAATATATCATTATGTTTATTAATCGCATAACCTATTCTGCTGCGTTTCTTAAAAGTGTACAACCTTTCGTTGTCAAAGTTACAGAAAACTCAATAAGAGACAATATGGTTGCTGGCAATGTACAACGAAAAGAATGTACATTATTCAGTTGTTCATTCACTGAAGTGCTAACATCTAACTGGCGATTCCTCAATATTTATCGCCAGGACCGACCAAGAAGAAAGAAACGGAAACTTGTTGAAATACTTTGCGCTGAGAATTCTATATTGTACCAAAATTATAATATTGAATAAAGCTAATAATAATAATAATAATAATGCGCACCCACGATCTCGCCCCCCGCGAGATTCCAACCAAGAACCTATCAGTCACGCGCGCGAACCCCTAACCTTTAGACCACTGAGCCGTCGTCCAAGGGTGTTAATGTATAACTTTAGCCAATCCATTCTGAATTTTGTATACTGGAGTGCCGGTAATGAGATAAAGTTCAATAAATTCTTATCACTGTGAATTAAATTTTTACAGGTTTTTTCAAAAAGTACAGAAGAAAAGAATATTCATCTTTACAAATGTGATTCATGGATACTTTTTTAAAGTGATTTTTTTACATTGATCTCACTAATTAATAAGATGTCAATACCAATAATTGTGATATTTTACACTTATAAGCTATTAATTTAAATAAATTATCTAATTGTTTGGCAGTTAATTATGAATTATTATTGATTTACTCATTAATATTTCTTTCTTATATTGATGTACCTATCACTTTTCTATTGATTTTGAATTGGGATAATTTGCAAAATGATTTCTATGTATTTCTCATTTTCTATCCATGTAAATGAAAGTAAAATTTTGATTAGTAGTGGAATCTAAGATGATTTTTTTGTTTTATTTGACATTCTTCAGACAGATGTAATTTCATTCCATTATTAATTTTCACACTGAGACTCGAAACCAGTACTAATTGTATCTAGATTAAGGTTTATTTCAAATTATCCAAGTAGTATATTGGGTAATATATGAAGATTCGTCGTATTCTAAATTTTTAGAAATGCTTTACTTAACATTAAATAAATGCTGTTTATCATTCACTATAAGGATGGAAGACATTATTTAAAATGTCTTTATTATAGCCAGCTTCTTCATATATATTAGTTGTATGTGGTATTAAATCATTTGTATAGATGTTCCCTAAATACTCGTGAAACAGGAATGTTCATATTTTCCTATATTTTTTATATCTCGATAATGAAAATATCGTATCTGTAACATTCCAATGAGTAGGAAAATTGAAATTTTCTGACGTTCTGTAACTTCATGTAAGCCGAGTCTCTAGAGAATAAACATATGTATATCTCAAATGCAAATGCTTTAAAAATACTGTCTTTAAATAATGGTCTTTCTAGTTCGACTGACTGAGATGTTCAGTAGAAACTACGAAGGAGGAACAAAGAACTTTAAGTAATGCCTTCAGAGGAAATACATACTATGGTAAGTTCATAAATAAATATATCATCAAAACGTAAGCGTGGAAAGTATAAATAAGAATTTTCTGTAAAGCTCCCTACAGTGTAGAGGTGATGCTACCAATGAAATATTAGTTCACGGATCAAACAAAATTACCTGTTGGAACAATGAAAAACTGAAAAAAAGAGCATGTATACTTTCTCAACACTTGACAGTAACATTTATGTTAAAAAATAAAACACGTACAACCTGCTAAAAGTAGTCATTTACTGAGTTATTCAAAGGGCGATAAAAATAGTCACCCAGATAAAGTAGTTCAAATGCATCTATTATATGGTTGGTTTCATTTCTTAGAAGTCAGTAATCGTCTTTATTATCATAAAATCACATAACACACACGTACACAAATTGAATCTCATTTCTCTGTATTTCCCCTGTTCAAATTTATTTAATTTATATAAACATATTTTTATAGTCTTTTACTTACTTCACATCATTTCACACGTCACGTAAATTACTCTCAAACATTTGATGTGACTATTGATTATGTCATTATTACAACTGTTATCCGACATTATTTAGATAAATTTATGCATGTTACTCAGCAGGTGGATTTGTTATAGTTGGTAGCTTTCTAAATGACCACTATCTTGTAAGCGTCTAGGAAGTGATAAATAATTATGGATGAATATTTATAAAGAAAAGTAGAATACAACTACAGTATTGTCACAAGATTCTATTCTGAGCCACACCTGAAATTTTCTGAAGCCGACACTTTTCATGATCTGTAGAATCATATATCACATTCTATTATTCAATAAGATGATGCCCAACTCTTCACTTTTTTGTTAACTCTGGTGAGCAATAATTTAATATGAAATCGATTTTAACGACATGTATAGAACGTAACCACACATTATAAGCCAATGTTTTCAGAAATCAGTCCATTAAATCATTTCATACACAATCCATAATACACATTTTCAGACTTCAGAACAACTTATACTTTGTTGCTATTGAATATAAACAATTTAGGATGCATAAAAATGGTTACAATAAATAGATCGTCAAACCTCTTATATTCCGAGAGACTAAGTTTCACAAACAGAGAAGAAATGATTTCACCTATTATAATGAAAGTGTTGGCTACGAAAATGAATTATCTTGCCAGAAAACATTAGGATATTTTCCCACCCAGACATACTTAGTAGCATGAATTTGATGTGATTAATATCACTTAGAAATTAAGAAAATCAAAAAGTTACTAACCATACATAATTTATTTATACACAAACTAACACCCACCAAAGAAAGAATAAATTTAGTTCTCTGATATCTGTAATATAGAATAATATCTTATCAAAGTAATACAATTATGAAAGAGATGAAAAATGGGTCAGGAAGGCAAAACGAAATGATTGCTTAGATGAATAAATAGATATCACTACCCATTTCAAATGCTTCTCTTTTTTTTCTTTCATTTTTTTTCTTAATTTTATTAGTTCTATACAATATTGTCTGACATTCATTAATGTATCCTGGTTATTTCGACTAGATTACAGTGTTCAAAGTGTTCTGTATACACGTCTATATAAATGGTAATTCGCATTTTTCTTTACTAGAGAGAAAATAAAGAGTAACCATTTACTTTTAACGATTTATATAATAACTAATCTATTTCATAAATTAAGAAATGAATATCAATTTTATGAAATTGGTACTTTTCACAAAATTTAAACCAAAGTAAGAATGGCAATATTTATAATGAATTTATGATTCCTTTATTACTTCATCTTCATCTAAATACTGGATAATATGTTCAATTATTAACATAATCATAAAAAAGAAAATGAACCATTAATCAATAACGAATAGATCCATAGGTAAGTAATGGGAAAGATGTTACAGTGACAAAAGGGGCTTTTATAATTGCTCATAGTGATAATTTACATAATATTGTCACTTTTACTTTGTTTATATATATACTAACTTCTGATTTTTCTACATAAACTTAAATAATAGTTTATTTCATGTATTTATTTATATTAAATTTAGTGTAGATTTCAGTTTACTAATGGATTATAGTGATAGTGACATAGAGATATCTTAATAACAATATTACAGTGAGGTAATTAGACATTTTTTGACATTAAAAATGCGTAAGCATTGAGGATACAAAAGCAGAGCCAATACACTTTCAACTCTTGTTGTACCTAAGTAGAGTGTAACAAGTAATATCAACATACTACAGTAAAAAAAACAAATATAGATGGATTATTTTCAGTTTAATTCAGTAAAAAAAGGGGGAAACAGATCCAGGTTTATTGTAACTTCTTGAAGTTAATGATAAGTGAAGCGTTTATTTATATATTATATGAAAAAAATCTGAACTTACGTT